CGCCCGCCGGACCTTTTGCCCTAATTGTATCACGCCGACCTTGCCTTGGTTTCCTTGCGTCGCGGTCGATCTGGTACGACGCGTCAAGGTCGACTCCTGTTCCTCCGCCGAAGGTTGCGTTTCCTCCGGCTCGCCACGGGCCGTGTCCCACGCGCTGTAGTCGATTTCGTTCTCCTGCTGCGCGTCTCCGAGGCCCTGCTTCTCAGCGCCCTGGCCCGAGCTCTGGTGAACATGATCCTTGAACCGTTCCCAGAACGAGCCCGCGGCGCCCTGCGCCGAGGACCCCTGAGCCCGCGGTCCCCTGGGGCCCTGCCGCGGCGCCCTCTTGGAGAGCAAGCCCCAGTCCGAAGAGCCCGATTCGTGCGGTCTCGCTCTCGGTGTCCTGGCCTTCTTGTCGACCGAGTCAGCCAGCCTCGCAAACGGATCGCTCGAGCCCGGCGGTCCGTCCAAGCCGCCCAGCGAGCCTCGAAGGCCCGGCTTCTCGTCGAGACCCATCGGGTTCGCGGCCCGCGGCGTGGACCGGTGCGGTATGGGCGCCACAGGCCGAGGCCCCGCGCGCGTTCGGCCGATGCTGTCGTCGAGCGAGCCAAAGTGTTGCCGCGGCCGCCTTCCGAGGGACGGGAGGCCTTCTTGCTTGTGCGGCGGCGTGCGGTGCTGGTGCGGCTTTGCCGGCTGCGGTGCGGGCTTGGTCGGTTCCGAGTCGGAGGTTCGTTGGGCGGCGAGACGCTGGCGGGCGGCGCGTTCGTGGGGAAGGAGGCCATCGTCAGGGCTCGGTGTGCTGGAAGTATCTGTCGGCGTGTTCGAGGATGGTGTCGTCGTCGAGTCGCTGCCGTTTACTGCTGAAGCGTTGGAAGCTCCGAATGCTGGGGCACCCCAGCCGGCATTGCTGGGCCCAGAGGTCCTTCGTGGGATGGCAGAGGAGGCTGAGGACGACCAGCCGCCGCCGAGACCTCCGCTGCGTCCGTGAGGGGCATGGGAAGAGGATTTCGGATCACTCGAGTAGCTTCGTATCGTGAGATGGCTCGGTCGTGCGGCGCCGTGGTGGCGACAGAGGGCGCAGATGTACGAGTTGCCCCTGTCCTGCGGCAGGTCAGCATAGGGCCAGAAGCAGCGGCGGAAATACCATACTCGTAGGGTTCGACACTGCAGCATGGTCAGACAGGATGCGCAGCGTGTGAAGCTACGGCGTCGGGATAGCTCGAGTGGGATCGAACAAATTTGGAGCTGTCCGAGTTCGACCTGTGAACAATTCTGTATCGGGGCTGATACATCTGCTTTATTGCATGACTCCCAAGGTGCATACCCATGCAGCTACCCGACATGTCCACCAAGTTCAAGCTCGAGCTTCTAGCTACAGCCCAGATTCCCTTTCCCTCTCCGTCTCACTCTGACAAACTCCTCCGTCACACACCGCCATGGCCCCCAAAGTCAAGGCCGTCCGCTCGCGGGCCAAGCCCCCCGCCCGTCCCAGCGACCCGACCGTGCCGCCAGCCCCCTTCAAGCCAGCGGCGACCGAGCTGGCGCCGTTCCTCGCCTTCCTCGACCTGGCGCACGTCTAACATCACGCACGGTCGAACATCAAGGGACGGCCTTCAAAGCGAAACTCTTCCTCGTGCGGGTCGGAATGAAAGTCGTCGACATGAT